TAAAATTCAGGAAGGAAATCAAGCCATTGAAAAAATTGTTAGGCATTGTCATGCCTGCCAATTAACCAACTCAGCTCCATCCCATGCTAACCCAGGATCCCGGAGCAGAGGGACATGACCGGGTACGTACTGGGAGACTGATTTCACTGAGATCAAACAGGGAAAATTTGGATATAAATATTTACTAGTTGTCCTAGTTTGTTCTTCATTGCTGTGACAAAACACTCTGACCAATACCAACTTGGGGAGGAAAGGATTTATTCAGCTTACAACTCCCAGGTCACAGTTCATCAGGGAGCCCAAGGTAGGAACTCAGGGCAGGAGCTGGAGCACAAGCCATGGAGGATAGCTGCTTACTGGCTTGCTCCCCTGGCCCCTGCTCAGCCTGCTTTCTTATGCAACACAGGCCCACCTGCCCAGGGGTGGCACCACCCACAGTGGGCTGGGCCTTCCCACATCACTCATCAAGAAGATGCTCTTCAGACGTGGCCATAGGCCAGCCCAATAGAGGAAATTCCCTGATTGAGGCTCCCTCAACCCAGGTGTGTCAAGTTGACACTAAAGCTATCCAGCACAAATGACCCCTTGTCAACTTGACACACAAACACATCACTATTAAACCATAAACTTTCCAATTCTTGTCCCCAAGATATGTTAACATTAATATCATCACATAAGACAGTACAACCTTAAAAACCCCCACAGTCCTTTAAAAAAAAAAAAATTCCAAACCCTTAAAAGTCCATAGTCTCTTTTAAAAGTCTCTACTGTGGGTGTGCTTCTGTAAAATCCAAAACAAGTACTGTCTTATTTCAAAGGGAAGAATCGGGCACACCTAAGCAAAACCAAAGTCCAGCAAAGTAGCTCAAGGCTGGACATCTGGGATTCACTCATGATCTTCTGGCTCCAAAGGGTACTGGCAGCTCCACTGCTCAGACTCTGCAGTCCACCCACAGCACACTCAGCTCGTCTCGCAGACCCAGGCCAGCTCCATTCCACACCTGCCACTGTCCTTGGTGGTCGTCCCATGGTCCCGGCATCTCCAAAAAGCTGGGGTCACCACTGAAACTGAGGCTACACCTTCACCAATGGCCTCTTCTTGCCTCTTGGGGTGCAAAGCCTCAGTTTCTCTCTATGACCCCTTCAGTCCTGGGGTCTTCACTGCAACTGAAGCTGCACTTTCACCTATGGCCTTTCCTGGTCTTGTTACTTACAGCTGATTTTTCAGCCCCAGCTAACCAGCATCAATTGTCCCAGTAAAGCAAAGGTTTTGCTTCAGGTTCTGGTCTCTCTCAACGTCTACACAGATACGCATTTGCCACTGCCCATATCCATGGGGCCACCTATCAAGAGAGAGGCCTCCTTACTGCAGAGGGAAAGACTATTAAAAATAAACGAGATCTTAGACCTCCTGCAAGCCCTCTGGGACCCAACAAAACTAGCTATAATCCACTGCCCAGGTCACCAAGAAGGAAACAACCCCACCCAGAAGGGAAATAATCTGGCTGACAGGACAGCTAAAGAAATCACCCTGACTTCCACGATCCTGCCCATTCTTGTTGGTCCCGGAGCAAGGGAACTGCCTAAAACTCCCCACTATAGCCCCGAGGACTTAGCCTGGATACACACTCTCCCTATGACTCAATGCCTAGAGGGCTGGTGGAGGACAATGGATGGAAAAGTTATCCTACCTCAGAATTTAGGCGTAAGATTGCTCAAGAAAATACATCGAGCATCACACATGGGCACCCAAAGGATGCAAGACTTACTAAGAAGGGTCAAAGTTAAAATTCAGGAAGGAAATCAAGCCATTGAAAAAATTGTTAGGCATTGTCATGCCTTCCAATTAACCAACTCAGCTTCGTTCCATACTAACCCAGGATCCCAGAGCAGAGGGACACGACTGGGTATGTATTGGGAGACTGATTTCACTGAGATCAAACAGGGAAAATTTGGATATAAATATTTACTAGTATTCATAGACACCTTTCTCTGGATGGACTGAGGCCTACCTAACCAAGCATGAGACTGCTCATGTGGTAGCCAAGAAGCTAATCGAAGAGATCCTGCCCAGATATGGTTTCCCAACTACAATTGGATCAGATAATGGGCCAGTCTTTGTCTCTCAGGTAAGCCAGGGAATAGCCACTGCACTGGGGGCCAATTGGAAACTACATTGTGCTTATAGACCCCAGAGTTCAGGACAGGTAAAAAAATAAAATAAAACTCTAAAAGAGACCTTAACCAAATTAGCTTTAGAGACTGGCGCAGAGTGGGTGGCTCTCCTCCACTTTGCCCTTTTTAGAGTAAGAAACACTCCATACCAGATGGGTTTGACCCCCTTTGAAATCATGTATGGAAACCCCCCTCCTATGATACCTAGCCTCCAAGCTGACCTAGTATCGACCTTGGGAGACCAGGACCTACTGGACTCACTCCAACGGTTGCAGCTAACCCACCAAAGGGTCAGGCCGCAACTCAGAGCCATATATGAAGCTGCTGTCCCCCCACAACCCCACAGGTTTAAACTGGGCGACTGGGTCTTCATCCGCAGACACCAACTGAAAAATCTCTAGCCAAGATGGAAGGGCCCCTTTGTGATCCTCTTGACGACTCCCACTGCACTCAAAGTGGACAGCGTTGCGGCTTGGGTGCACTACTCCCACGCAAAACCTGCCGGCCCGTTTGCAGTCCCAGAGGATTACAAGGAAGACACCTGGAAGGCGTCCCCCCACCCTTCCAATCCAGCTAATGGAAAAATCTCGAGCCAAGATGGAAGGGCCCCTTCGTCATCCTCTTGATGACTCCCACCGCACTCAAAGTGGACGGCATTGTGGCTTGGGTACACTATTCCCACGCAAAACCTGCCGACCCGTTTGCAGTCCCAGAGGATTACAAGGAAGACACCTGGAAGGCGTCCCCACACCCTTCGAATCCATTCAAGCTCTGTGTCCGACGAGACCCTTCCTGTTAACCTAGTGTTGACATTGAACTGCTTATCGGCTGATGGCACCTTTCCTGCAAGTAACATAAATCCCCATATGCCCCAAATCTTAACTTGGGTAATCACCAACTCTGCCATGGGGACAGTCATCAACTCTACCTCCAAGACAGCCTCTCCCAACACTTGGTACCCCAACCTTTGGGTTAACCTCTGTGACATCTTTGAAGGAGAATGGGAACCTCACGATCAGACCCCCTTTGCTCCCTTCGGCTGCCAAGACCCCGGCCCCAGATCACGCACGCGAAGCCTCGCCATATACGTTTGTCCAGGCCATGGACATAGCAGACAAGTTAAGAACAAATGTTGGGGACCTGGGGATTATTTTTGCACTGACTGGGGCTGTGAGACCACCAGCACATACTGGTGGAAAGGGTCAGAGCATTATTCCCAGCTCAGAGCCAGCTTAGATTCAGGTCTCCAACAAGTTGAGGAGTCAATTACCTACAAGACTCCCTGAGCTCGCTGGCTGAGCTAGCCCTGCAAAGCCCACTGGAGGAGGTATGGGGGGGACGTGCGCCCAACCACAGTGCAACCCCCTCATAATTCGGTTCACTGAGAAGGGAAAACAGTCTATGGGGTGGGATGTAGGACACACATGGGGCCTATGGTTGTACACTGCAGGGAGAGACCCTGGGGCCCTCTTTACCATTCAACTCCTCCTCCGACCGGTCGTCTATGCACTGGGACCCAACCGAGTCCTAAATCCACCCACCCCCGGATGATTCTCATAAATCTTCTTCAGCTAAACCCCCTCCCGGACCTCCCACTGGATTAGTACCGTTCATGAAGGACAGGTTAGGCACCATCCAACTTATGGTTCGGAGGCAAGTCTATATGCCCCTTAGCACGATGCCCCCAGATACCTGTGAGCTGGCTGACCAGAACCCATGATTGGGTTCCCCAGTTACAAGACAAGGGGGTGGAATGTAGGACCCTGAGACCCTCTTCATTCACCCGCTACCCCCCAATCCCTCCAGACCCCCACTAATTGCTCTTTTAGCTTCTGTAAAATGCTTGACTGCTGCTTTAGACATGCCCTGACCCCTGCCTGCTATCCCCCCTGCCCCGCCCTTCCAGGAAACTATAGATTAAGCAAACCCAGGCATGAAAACTGCCCTATAAGGTAAAAACGGAGACTCCTGGCCCCACAGAGAACAGTCAGCATATTCCACAGCCCTGAGAATAGCACCTACCAATAAGAAACTTCCAGGGCTCCATCTTATACATCCAATCAGTTTAAAATTATGTTGGCGCGGTGGGTTCCTTGAACCAACCAAAATGTATCTTCGGTATCCCCCTCCTCTCTTTGTCTAAAACCTGTAAAAGGCTCACTGTCCCTTACTCTGGGCTCTCAGCACGGATCCATTTGGTTGGTGAGGTCTGAGAACCTGAGCTTAAGCCTGAATAAACCATAAACCTTTGCTTTTACATTTTGGTCTGTTGGGTCCTCCGTAGTCTTTTTGGGGGTTCAGTGGATGAGGCACAACACTCTCAGAAACCCAACTTTCTTTCCCTCCTTTTAAGTTTCTCCAGTAAGTCCCTCCTCCCTTTTCTCCTGGAATTAGAGGGCTTGAACCCAGGGCCTGCTGCAACCAATACTACGGAGCTCACCCCTGTTTTATATCCAGAGAACCTCCAAGGCCTATTTCATAAATCTCTTAGCTCTATGGACCTCTTGTTAGCCGCCTTCCAGAAGTGGAGATTAAGACAGCAATTTTACAGAGCACAGCCCAAAATCGGAAACCTCTTTTGCTATGTTAATAAATGCTGGACACGTTTTAGAAGACCTAAGTCCCAGTAATACTGCTACTGGCCCTATGCGGTCTGCAATTATTCTTCCCATTTCACAGGTGAGGGCTCAGGTACTTAGCACCAACTCTCCATTAGACAGCGGGATGAAGCCCATGCCGGGGACAAGAGGCCAACAGCGTTCAGCGCTGCTTGCGGACTCAGCTCCACTGGCGAGCTGGGTTCGAATCCAGCCGGTCAGGCTCACCTCCTGATGATCCTCCACCACCCACACCGGGAGCCTAGGGTAGCGCCTGAGACGCGGGCTCTCTCCTCCCGAGTCACTCATGTTTCTGCTAGCCCAGACTCAGAGGTACCCAAGAGCAGACAACACCGCATCTCCAAGCCCAGGGCAGTGGAGCCCTTTCACGGCGGAAACGCCAGCTCACCCGGTTGCGCTTCAGGATTGGAGGACGTCAGGACTGAGGGGCGGTCATAAAAGCGATCTGCAGTGCCAATTGGTCTAAATGTCCATCGCTCTCGGTGATGCACCAATCACGGCGCCTAAGGTGCTGAAGCGAGCTGCGGAGCTTTCCCTCCCTTGGCCGACCTTTCTCAGGTTTGCCTTTTTAATTTTCAGGGTTTCCTGTTCCGGAGGCGCGGACGGCGCCCCTGCTGTGGCGGCTGTGGCGGGACCCTGGCTCGGATCTGACGGCGACCTCGCGGCTCCTCTGTAGGTAAATAGGGACACTTGGCTGGTGTTGGAAGAGATGTTCCCTACGGTCGGGATTTAAATGGACTTCAGCTTGGGCCAAACGAGCCCGGGAGCTGGGTCTTGGCAGCGCCCGTGCACATCTGCGGCTGGGGTCCCGCGGTGAGAACGGTGGAAGGGGCGTCCTTCGGCCTTCCGTGTGGCGCATGGCGCCGCCGGTCCCGGGGAGCATCGTAGGGCTGGTAGGGTGGCGGGAGATGCAAACAGTCAACACGCATTTAGGATCCGGAGGAGGCCCGGTGCGGGTTCCTCGGGGGAAAAGACTGGGGTCATAGTGACACTAGTCACACTTTGCAACTGTATCCCTACCGGGGTTCCTGACCTGTTAACTGTTCAAAGTTCCCTTCGTTTTTCTGCCTTCACACGGTAGAAAGCAAGCAATGACTTTTTTATTTGCATAGGATTCAGTGACTGGCGTTAAAGTTGGTATCCACAATTAAGTGTATCCGTGTTTTTAGGTTTTCTAACTGTAGAAACATCCAGGATGGTCTGGTAGTGAGTGTTCTGTTTTTATACACTATCCAGGAGGCGTATTTCATGACTCCTACTGTTGGCCATGTCTAAGCTTCAGCGTACTCCATTGTGGTCTAGACTCTACATCCTTCTTTTCTTCCGTGTATCACATTGCTTTTTTTTTTTTTTTTTTTTTTTTTTTTGGGGGGGGGGATATTGAATTTTTTTTTTTTTTAAAAATTTTTGAAAATTTAAACATTTGTGTGTGGGTTTTGAGATCCTTGAGTCCTTCAGGCTGTGTGCCTTATTCTTTGAGTCCACAGAGCCTAGGACAGTGCCTCACAGTGTATGTTGCATGAATCAGTGAAAACATCTGCTTTCTAGGTGGTTTTGATAATGCAAATTTGTGGGTAGAGGCAGAAGGGAAATATACAGTAGTGATGTAGACACCCGCACCATTAGTAAGAGTTAGATTTACTGGCTGTTTATTGTGTGCAGGGTGCTCTGCAGAGGCTGTGAAGGATACAGGAATGGCTGTGAATCAACCCACGTTATCAAAGAGCTAATAATGTAGAGGAGGAATTCGACAGCACACATATGACTATAACATGAGGCAGTTTCTGGTAAGTGCTATAAAAGAGGAATGTGTAGGAGCTGGAGAGGTGGCTCAGTGGCTAAGAGCATGCAGTGCTCTTCCCGAGAACCCCAGTTTGGTTCTGAGCCCCATGTCTGGCTGCTCACAAGCACCTGTAACTCCAGCTCCAGGTGATTTGATGCCTTGGTCTGGACCCCACAGGCACCTGTACTCAACACACACAATGAAAAATAAATCTTAAAAGACCAAGAGTAGACTAAGCAGTAGCAGTCTAGAGAGAGCGAGATTACAAACCAAAGGAAATCAGGAGATGCTTCACAAAGGAGAAGGCAGGGGAGGTTGGTGCATGGATTAAAATTCCTTGGGCAAATTATAGGACTAGAGATTTTAAGGGATAATGGGGGCAAAGATATTTGAATGATAATACTTAGTATGTTAACTAGCTGGGAAAAACCTGTGGTAGGAGGGGCTTTATAAAGAAGGAAACAGAGGGTAGGCCTTGGAGGTGGTGCATTCAAGTTCTGTAGGGTCTTAAATGTAGGGATGGAGTTTAAACTCAATTCCGTTGGCAGTGAGTAGCTTGTGATGCCCAGATCACCTTCTAGGTTCCATATTTAATCATGAGAGTGTTGGAACGAATAATAAACATTAATCATATTATTTGGTATCCCCTGTTTATTAAGCAGTACTTGATCTCAGTTATTTGTACTTCTTTTTTAACTTGTTACTTGATAAACTTTTAGTTAGACTTTAGAAAGATTTAAAAAAATTTTTTATTTATGTGTATGTATGTGTCTGTGTGTGTTTATATGTGCATATGTGTGCAGGTGCCTGTGGAAGCCAGAAGAGGGCATTGGATCCTCTGGAACTGGAGTTCTAGGCTGTTGTGAGCCACCTGATGTGTGTGCTAGGAACTGAACTTGAGTCTGCTGCCAAAGCAGCAAGCGCTCTTAACCACCAAGCCATCTCTCCAGTCCCTCGAAAGATGTTTCTCCATTAAAGCTTTTTGCACTTACCTTTGGAGTTTCTTTTAAAAAAGCATTTTACTGAATTTCGAATATTTGGAAAGTCATGTTCACAATGTTCTGTTGTGAGAGTTGAGAATGAAAGAATCGTAGTAGTGCTAAGAGGTTGTGTATTGAATTTGAATGCAGGTTTCACTATGCTTTCTGTGTTGATTTATGCCTACGTTGTATTACTCTGGGGGGAAACCTGCCTGTGAAGGATAGAGGAAGTCTTTTCTCTCTGTCTTACAAAACCAGAGAAGGGAAGTGTCTGTGTTTCTAGTCTTTTTAGCAACTGGTAGTTTTGAGTTAACACAACTAATAAGGACATCGTAGGATTTATTTGGAAACTTAAATATAGCTCAATATGCTTCTGATTTTGTTAGTAGAGTAAGGGGATTGGAGAACTTAAAATTATTGTTAAGATAATTCTAAAAAAAAAAAAACACTTTATAGGGCTGGGCATATTGGTTCATGCCTTTAATTCCAGCACTTGGGAGGCAGAGTTAGGCAGAGCTCTGTGAGATTGAGGCCAGTCTGGTCTACATAGTGAATTCCAAGCCAACTGGCACTACAGGGAGACCCTGTTTCAAAAAAACCACCACCACCACTACCAAAAAACTAAAAACACAAAGCAACCCCCCCAACAAAACAAAACAAAGCCAAACCCCCAAACTAAAACAATCCACTTTATAGCATTAGCAGTTTCAAAAATGCGCTTATATATTTTCTTTCTGTTTTTTAGAAGTTATATTCTGTGTGGAAGATGTGACAGATCTAGATAATACATCATGATGCAAGGCAATACATGGTAAGTACTGTGCTGGGAATGACATTTTTGGAGAATAGACAAAGGAGCCAGGGTAGGTAGTAAGCCTTAGAGGGTGGGAGAGTTTTAGGTACATGGAAAAGGCAGGGAGTGCGTTCACTCTTTTAGTGGTAATACCACATTAAAAGTTTGTGTGCAGCACAGAAGGCCTCAACTGGCCAAGTTTTGGAGAGTAAGAGACTGTAGAGTGTAGGATGGAACTCCTATATGGAACCTCACCCACCCATGCCTCAGGGACCATCGCAGAAGAGGAGGCGGAAAGATTGTAAGAGCCAGGGCTGGTTCATGAACTTAAGGAGGTGGAGGCTTCCAGGCCACTGGAGGCTTGCTCATGTACACCTGCAGCAGTGGTGGCGCCAAACGCAGGACCCATGTCAGCTCAATTAAACAAGGGCCCAAAGGAGAGGTGAGAAGTAGATGGTGGGCCAGCACTAGATTGAGAACTTTTTAAGACTGTTTGCTGCTGGGTGAGGGAGAGTATGACTTATGTACATCCACTGGATGGGCTGACTAGCTAGACTGCAGTGGATGCATTAACACTGAAGGATATTTGGGTACAAACACCTGAATGACTAGGACTCAGCATATATGGCAGAGTGCATAGGGGATGGTGGGGGGATAGTGGGAGGCATGGATGGGGGAGAACGTCTGGATGTGAGTGGGAAATATTGTATGAAATTTTAAAAGCTCAATAAAAAAAGAAAGTTTGTGTGCAGCACTAAGAAGTGGACCAGAAGGATTAATGGACATCTCGAAAGCTAACGGAGATTTTTAATGACCTGACTTCTCTATGCAGCACTGTCCTGTTGACACCTCTTTCATTGATGTTTTTGTTGGCTTCCTGACACACTACACTCACTATGTCCTTCCTACCTTCCTACTACCCAGATGTTCCTCCTGGCAGTCCCTGTGCATTTCACACATTGACTTAGTGGTGGAAGCCAAAGATAGATTAATGTGAATTGGAAATGTATAGTTGGTCTTCCTTATTCAACTGCTTTGTTCAAGTTCAAGCAGCCGCAGATTGAAAATAATTGGGAAAAATATGGCAGAAAGTTCCTAAAAGCAAAACTTGAATTTATCATGCATTCTGCACTATGTTGAATGAAGTGACAGGGAAGGAGGCATACCTGCTGGTTAGCACTTTACAGATGCTCAGCCTTTGTGTGTTTTATCTTATTTTTGTGCTGTGTAAGTAAGCCCGTGATGGTTGTGCCTGTGTAGAACATGTGTCGACTTCCTTATCCATCCTTAATTCAGTAATAGTTATTCACTTTGCATTTATACCTAATACATTAAGTATTTTTAAAATGTATTTTTAATTTATTAGTCTTATTTATGTGTGTGTGCATGTCTGTTTGTGTGTGTATGTATGATGTTTACATGGGCACATATGTGTCTTAATGCCTGTGTGGAGGTCAGAACAACTTTGTGGAGTTCTTTTTCTCTTTACACCTTTATATGGATTCAGGGCATTGAACTCAGGTTAGTTAGGCTTACATGGATGGGAAGATACTGAGGACTGAGCTTAGGGCCTCACCTACCCTAAACCTCTCCCATTGATCTGTGCCCTGAGCTCTAGAGATCATTTAAGATATATAAGGATATACATAGATTGTGTACAAATTCTTTGCTATTTCATATTAGGGAATTGAGCATCCTTGGATTTTATTATCTGTACAGATAAAGGTCCTAGCACTAATCCTGCTTGAATACTGAAGGGTGACTGTACTTTTGTGTTTGTTACCTGGACTGCCATTAAGAAAATATCATAGAATAGATAGCTTAAGTAGCAAACATTATTTTTTTCTTCAAGTGCCAGCATGGTCAGGTTCTCTCATGGTGAAGGACCTTGTACTTTCCTGTGGGTGGTCTTCTTGCTGAATCCTCACTTGTTGGAGATAGGGATCTCTTACCTTTTCCTCTTTTCCTTAGAACACCCTCATGACCAATTTTAATCCTAATTACTTCCCATAGGCTTCACTTCTATGTAGCACCTCATTGGGGTATATGAATTTTGGGGAAACACAAGCATTTAGTCTATAGTAATCTTTTCAGGAAGTTTGGAGATGAAGAGAAGAAGAAGGTATAAAATTGAGGGAGAGCTGGATGACAGGGAAAAGTATTTTGTGTTGCACTAGACCGGTGCATTTTGGAATGCCAGTGTGAAGGATCTGGTATTAGAGAAATTGGAGAAGTGCAGATGGAGAGTGGTGATCCCCTGGTCCCAAGCAGATGTTTGCAGATGGGGCCCAGAGTACATGTGGCAAGATAAGGCTTTGTCAGGAGGAGGGAATTGACAGAGGATGGATTTGGATGCAGGTAGGTTTGGTAAGGTGCTATAACATTTGTTCTGATGTTTTTTTTATTGTAAACAGTGAAGAGAGATCAGGATGTGAAGAAAGATGCCTGTAGAAGGGGTTCAGAAGCTCTGGTGGCCAAGGGAGTAAACTTCCTGCTGGAGCATGCCAGGGATGTGTTGGCAGAACCTGTAATTGAAGTAATGTGGGTACCAGCTTGCCCATTGAGGTGTTGTTGAGCAGTGTTACTTTTTGGTTGGCCTTCAGAAAACGAAGCACTGGGTCATTCTAAGTCTGAGGCATTGTCTGGTTTTTGTGACTGAGGCAGAGTGGGTCAGAGGATTGTAGGTTATTTTAAAAGTGAGTCATTGAGATGCTGGCCCATGGGATCTGTACTAAGTGGGGAAGAAGGGGGAGACCAGATGCTTGTGCAGATGTAGAAAATGAGAGTTTGCATGAGGCTACATAGGGCAAGATTAGAGGGGGTTTTGATCAAGGACATAATAGCAGATGGATGTTGGAGGTAGAACAGTTTTAGGAGCTAACAGGGTCCAAGGATTAACCATCTTGGTGGACTGGGTGGATGAGGAGTTTATTGGCCATGTGAAATTTCAGATTTTAGAGAAAACACAGTTACAGATAGCATGAAAATTTTGGTGCTGCTTTACTAAGTGACTAGGGGCTCATCAGAAGGGTCAGGTGTTTAGGAAATCCTGTTTATAATCTTGGGTGTTGTTTTTCCTCATGAACCACCCACTTTATTTTTTGAGAAAGGGTCCATTAACTGTATGATTGGCCAGAGAGCCTTAGAATTCTACTTGTCTCTGTCTCTGCAGCTCTGGTTGTTTGGTTGTTACGTGTGTTCTTGGGATAGAACTTGGGTTTTCATGCTCTCTCCAGCCCCTTGAGGTTTTTTTTTTTTAATTTAAAAATTAAATTTACATTTATTTACTTATTTAGAGAGAATGTGTGTGCACGTGTACTTACCATTCTGCATATGTGGAGGTCGGAGTACAACTTGGTTAGTTCTTTCCTTACACCATGTGATGGAACTCAGGTCACTGGTTTGGTGGTAGGTGCCTGTACCTACTGAACCATCTCTCTGTCCCATTTTTTTTTATTTCTTTGTTTCTTTCCTCCAAAAAGTCATAGAATGCCGTTCCACCCAGGACGAGGGTGTCCCCGGGGACGAGGAGGACATGGAGCCAGACCCTCAGCACCAGCCTTCAGGCCCCAAAATTTGAGACTTCTTCACCCTCAGCAACCTCCTGTGCAATATCAATATGATCCTCCAAGTGCCCCTTCCACCACATTCTCGAACTCTCCAGCCCCGAATTTTATGCCTCCACGACCAGATTTTGTACCCTTCCCCCCACCCATACCACCATCAGCACAAGGCCCTCTCCCACCCTGCCCAGTTAGGCCCCCTTTCCCCAACCACCAGATGAGGCACCCTTTCCCGATGCCTCCCTGTTTTCCACCTATGCCCCCTCCAATGCCTTGTCCTAATAATACCCCAGTCCCTGGGGTACCTCCTGGACAAGGCACTTTCCCCTTCATGATGCCCCCGCCCTCTATGCCCCACCCTCCACCCCCTCCTGTGATGCCCCAGCAGGTTAATTATCAGTATCCTCCTGGGTACTCGCATAGTTTCCCACCTCCCAATTTTAATAGTTTTCAGAACAACTCCAGTTCTTTCCCGTCCAGTGCTAATAATAGCAGTAGTCCTCATTTTAGGCATCTCCCTCCATACCCACTCCCAAAGGCTCAGAGTGAGAGAAGGTCCCCAGAAAGACTCAAGCACTATGATGATCACAGACACCGAGATCACAGTCATGGGCGAGGCGAGAGGCACAGGTCCCTGGAGCGCCGAGAGCGAGGCCGCAGCCCGGAAAGGAGAAGACCGGACAGTCGCTACAGATCAGATTATGATCGAGGGAGAACACCAACTCGACACCGCAGCTACGAGAGGAACAGGTAAGCCCAGATGTGAGGCCCATGCACAGCCAGTTTCTATCTGCAATCTAAAAATCTGTCATTTTGATGTATAAAAGCACAACTTAATCTTTTGAAGAGACTGACAAGTAAATAAGTTGATGCTTAAAAAAAAAGCTTTTGAAAAGCATTCCAAAATTACCACATAGATTCACTACAGTGAATGAAAACCTTTTACTCTGCATAATGCAAGTGACGTTTTTAATTTTGATCTCACAGCATGAAAGATTCTGTGTTGTTCTTTATCATTGGAGATTGAATTTTGCTTAGTGGGATCATCCTGCCAGGTTGCCACTTTGAGTTCTTTTGGAGTTGGTGATATACATATGTTATCAATCCAGACCCAAACTCAGTAGAGCTTGCTGTTAGACTTTCAAGGTGCTTTAAAAAACATTGTTGCCTCTGGGTGTGGTGGCACATACCTTTAGTCCCAGCACTTGGGAGGCAGAGGCAGGTGGATTTCTGTAAGTTCAAGGCCAGCCTGCTCTATATAACGAATTCCAAGCCAACTGGGGCTACAGGAAGACCCTGTCTCAAAAAGACAAAACAAAACAAAACAAAAGCATTGTTGCCTTTGGCAAATCAAGTAAGACTAGTCATTGAAGTTATACTTTCAAAATAGCTTAGCCTGTTTTCTTGCACTGAAATGTTCTCATATTGAGGAAAGTTGTAAAAAAGATTGTCCCATTCTAGATTTATGCTTCTTTTTTTAGCATCAACTTTCTTTAAATACAAGAAAAAATTTCAAGGAGGCATTCTGTCCTAGTTTTGTGTTTGCTGTGATAAAATACTCTGAAAAAAAGTAACGTAGGGGAGAAAGGGATTTATTTCAGCTTAAAATTCTAGGTTACGGTCCTTCATTGTGGGTGAGTCAAGGCCAGAACTTCAAACAGCTACTCACATCACATCCACAGTCAAGAGCAGAGAGATGCATGCCTGCTGCTTGCTTGTGTCTGTCTTGGTTTCTCCACTTCTGCTGTTTCAGATCACTGTCCAGGGAATGGTGTTACCTACAAGGCCTGGGTCTTCCCACATCAGTTACCGTAATTAAGACAGACTTCCACAGACATGCCCATAGGCCAACCTGATGTAGGAAATTCCTCATTGAGAATTTTTAGGTGATTGTAGGTTGTGTCAGGTTGACAAAGTTAACGATCATGCGTTCTTAAAACAGATTCTAGATGGACTTCTAGAAATACTCTGAATCACATGCAGGATTTTCTGACCATGTATTTGCTTCTAGGCAGATTTTTGAAGAGACAGGTGTTGAGATTGCTACCTCAAAAACTAAGAGTGGTTGGCTTATATATGAAAATAAAACGACACATTACTAATTACTTTTGCTTTGGGCAAGCTCTTTGTGCATTTAGATTTGAGACTTTCATTGTTAAGTTCCTGTTTTTCTTTCTTGTTTACCTTCGTTATCTTTTGCAACTTTTTTTTGCTGAAAGTGTTTGAGCTCCCCAAACAATCACAGTACTCAGGTTTGGGGAGTTGTTTTTGGCTCTTGTTATTAATCCTCAGTTGACTATCAGAATGTACTCACATCTTGACTATTGACTTGATTTTGACTGATATTGGACGGCCTCCTCTGTCCCAAAGAGTGGCTAGTGCTGAGAAGGTTTTCAGAGGAGATGTACTGTACTCTCTATCCTTGATAACCCAGTGGAAAGTAGAAGGGAATGTATTTCTTGTGGAGGTGATTGATTTCTGAGTGACAGTAGACTTAAAAAAAAAATCTTTTTCATCATGAATCACTGTTTATGGCTGATTGTGTGCTCATTCTGTGATAGACTAGTTGGCAGAAGCCTGCAATAGTTTATTTTGCAATCTTATAATGAAAATTGAAACTAGAAAGAGTTAATCACTTTCTTCAGATATTGAGATGATTGCTAACAACCCATCTGTGGGAAGCATTTTTGCAAGCCTTATAGATAGCATTTCCCCTTCCATTTTGAGATACCGTAATCAGGAGTGTGGGGGCTCTGCTGTAAATCCCTGATTTCTTCCTGTGAGGCTTAAACCTTGAGTTCTGTGAAGGAGTTCAGATGCTTTTAAACTGAGGATCTCTACCAGTAAATGAAGTGCTGTGAAAATGTTTTCTAATCTGTTATTGTGAACTACACTCCTGTGCTGTAGTGTTCTCCAGCCTTTTCAGATGTCTTTGTTATATCCGAGGTGTTCTGTATCATGCGGAGGGTGTTTGCCTGGAGCTGCCTTGATAGTAGCTGCATTATAATTGGCTTTCTTTGGGGTGTTAAGTGGAATGTCAGACATCTGTTATATTTGAAATGTTTCTGTGACTCAAACGTGTGAAGTCTTAGTATAACTTCTGGAAGTATACTGGGAAAAATGGAAACTTGATAAATTTGTACATTAGACTGCTTTCAGTTTTTGTAAATTCTATAGTCCACCTCTGGTTGCTTCCTTGCCGCTTGGTGTGGCTCTGTGCTTTTATGAATTTCATTTTCCTTCTCCAAATATGGTTGATTTCAATATTGCTTTAAGGAAAACTGTTTCTAGAAAGGGCCAGTAAAGAATAAGGTGCGTGTGTATGTGTATGTATGTGTGTGCGCTTGTGCACGCACATGCGCATACGTGCATTTGTTACCATGAAAGATCAAGATTACTTCAGGCAATGGGAAAACAAGCAGCTTGCAGTGCAGGGCAGAAATATTGTTCTGCAGTGTAGTGAAGCATGCAGCTGGCTTTGCCTAGCTGAACAGTCCTACTGTGCAATAGTCTGATGGCTCTGTGTAACCACTAGAGAACTACCAAGCATAATGTACCAAGGAGTACTACCATGTAAGAAGAGGAAGAATCTTGGAAATGTAGCATAAAAATAGGATTTCTGCTGGGCGTGGTGGCGCACGCCTTTAATCCCAGCACTGGAGAGGCAGAGGCAGGCGGATCTCTGTGAGTTCGAGGCCAGCCGGGTCTCCATAGTGAATCCAGGACAGCTGGGGCTACAGGGAGACCCTGTCTCAAAAAGACAAAAAAAAA